CTAGTTGGAAAGCTCTCGGGCCTTCTCCCCGGCTTCCCGTGTGATCCCCCAGCCCACACTTCCTTCTGGGTGAGCGCAGGATGGCAGTTCCGGTTGAGTGAGGCATGAGTCAGCGAAGGCGCGGTGGCTGTCTTCATAACCTCCAGGCACAGCTATGAAATATTTAAATGACACAATAGTATTGATCGTGCTCAGCCGCCTCCTGGGGGGAGCAGTTCCTGTCTGCATCCAGATCATAGGCACATTGTGGATTTAGACAAACTCCAAAGAGCTCCGTGGTGCTCTCGAAATCTCACTCGTAGAAGTGTTCTCTCTTCCCCGGAGCCTGCTCCCAGGAGCGGGGATGAATTGGGCTCTGCCTGTTTTACCAATAGGACCAGAGAGGTCAGGGTTATGTGGACAGGTGCCCAGCAGGCCTTAGAATCACAGCATCCAGGCTCCCTCTGAGCATTGGCTGTTTCCTCTGCACCTAGCTTCTTCCTCATCCTCTTCCTCCTCACTGCCCTGCTGTCATTCACTGATCCCTCTTAACTGCTGGGGGACATGGCATCCTGCAAAATACACAAGGTCCTGTTGGGCAGTCTCCTCCTGTGCCATTAATTGCCTTTGAAAACCTACTGGAAGGTCAGCTGTGGGTCAGTTCCAGTTCAAATGTACACAACAACAACTACTCTTTGGAATAGAGCGAGTTTCTTGGAGAGGAGCCGGACTCAGCACCCCCAGACCAGTCCCTGCTCAGTGCCCATGCCCCGTCCATGAGCGGGAGGGAGCACGGTGGACTGGGCCTCACTGTCCACAGAGCTGCCTCTCCTCCGAGGGCACTTATCAGGACATGTATACTCAGCGCCCCATTCCTAGGGAGTTACTCACCCCACAAAAGTACCGGCTGCTGTGGATTAGATTACGGCTTCTGCTCTCCCTGGCTGGGCTGGGGGAGGGATGGAGACTTCAGGCTGCTGGCGAGGAGGGGACCCACCTTCCTGCTCTCAGCGTCAGCTCCTTCCTAATCTGGAAGTCTACCGTAGAGGCCGGGATGAGACCCAGTGTTTACATAGCTGCTTCTGTAGGACAGGCCCAGCTCACTGCTTGGCTCAGAGCTGGGGTGCCTGTAAGGGTCTCTCCGCTGCTCTCTGTCACTCCAGGCCACCAAGGCTGCCAGGTGGTAGACAGAGCGCCACATTCCCCTTGCCCGGAGTTTCTGAGCTCCACAAAAGAGAGAAGCTGCACAGCTGTACATCTGCAGACTCGAGAGGGAATTTGCAGAGCTGGCCCTCTGGGAGTCTGGGCTTTGGATGAAATAGCAGGGATGGACAGCTGGCCCAGGGCTGTTGGGCCGGCCTCTGAGCCACGGTGGCCCCTTGCTGCCTATGGTAGATCCTGTCTGGTGGCAGTGACTGCTCCGTTCTCCTGCTTGCCAGCTCCTGGGGAACCTGTGCCAGCCCCTGCCTGGGGGGAGGAAAGCTGAGCTAGCCTGGCCTGCGGGAAGAAAGTGAGTGAGCTGACTTTGAAGATCTCATTCCTCTTATGTCCCAGGAGTCCCAAGGTGGCACAGTTAAGTGGTCAGATCCTCACCTACTGGCCGAATGGCTTAACCCACCCAGAAGTGGCTTGGCAGAAAAGCTTGACCTTGAAAACTCTGAGGAACAGCTGTCTTCTGCACCCGTGGGGTCACATGGTTTCGACTTGACTCTTGAATGTTGTTAGGCCAGTGGAGGTGTCAGCTGGATCTAAGCCCTGCTTGGGGAATCAGTCTGGAATAGCAAGGGTGGGTGGGTCTCAGGGAAGCAAGCAAGAAAGCTGCTGTTTCATCATCCTCAGGCTTACCTGCCCTGGGGTCATTGAGGGGGAGATGGGGTAGGTTGAGGTGGGTGTGCTTCTCTGGGGTGTTTTCATTCTGTTCAGAAGGGTGCCCCTTCCTGCTGGTCCCGCAGTAGACTGTGACCGCCTCTGCCCACAGAGGTGGGGTGCCACTGGGTTGAGCGGGGTGGGGAAAGGCTGAACACTTCTCTGAGGGAGGTGTGCCCGCTTAACAATTTAGCTTAGTTCCCATCACTTCCTGGGTGGGTACTCTCTTCCAGGCAGGTGTGCGGTAGTAGGTACCTCATGGCCAGTCCCACCTTTGGTGCATAGTATACAGTGAATTGGGCTGATAATGGAAAGGTTGGCAGTTCTAATCCATAAGCTGTCCCTCGAGTGGAAGATGGGTTGGTTGTCTTCCCCTGTAAAGATTTACATCAGAAACTGATAGAAGAGCACTGCTGACTCATGGGTGAGCTTTTTGGGGTTTTCTGTGAATAAGCCTGTGGTGTACCGTGCCATTCAACAGTCAAGGAAGCCAAGGCACAAGGGCAGTCAAGCAGCCTGCCCAGGTAGTCTGTGTCAGTCTCACTGTGCGTCACTGCCCTCGCACTTGAGAGAGACAATCAGAGAGCTGGCTGGCGGTCCTCTGGGGTGGGAGGCAGCTTCCCCCATCACACATGGTCCTGATAGTCACAGCTGGGGAGGGGCCACACTTGGGGTGGGAGGAGGAAGTGGCTGGAGGTTGGGGTAGAAAGGATCCATTGTTTTATGTTAACCTGTTGTTGGGTACCCGCTGTGCTGTGACCCATATGCCCCGATACTGGAGATGTTAGGAGACCCCGAATTTAATTCTGCACCCCTGGGCTGATCTGAGTGTTGATGTCCCTGGACTGAAGTATAGCATTTTCCATAGAATATGAACTGGGCTGATGGGTCCCTTACCATCCTCTGAAATCTTAATTAGGATCTTAATCCCCTCAGACAGATACAGCCACAGTCCTGCCTCTGAGACTTCTCCCTTCTTGTTTCTGGGTCTGAGGAGGGTGTGGTTCAGCTAAGTCTGGCTTCAGAGGGGACTTGAGCCAGAACATGAGTCCTCTGGGTCCTTGTGACAACCCCCAGGGCCACTTCTCTCTTGAATGGCTTGCTCCAATCACAGTGTGTTCCAGGCATTGCCCAGAGGGCTTGCTGCTCAGGCCACCGTGCCCTCCTCATAGCCTGTGCTGTTTCTCCTGCTCTGCTGAGCTTCCTAGTTCAGCATTAACATTTCTCCAGTGCATCCATAGCCAGGGGCCTCCCCGGTCTTCCCCAGCTCCAGAACTCAGTGAGAGTGGAGGTTACTCAATGAAGCAGGACGCTGGCAGGCCAATAGCGCACCCTGGTGGACAGTGGTGGCCCCTCCGCACTCTTCCCTCTCCAGTGCTGGGTGGCCTTTGCCCTAGGCTGCTCCTGACCTGGAGAGGAAAGGCTTCACCTTTACCTGCACCCTCACCTCCATTCCCTCCCCCGTGGGTGGGCTGGTCCTGTCTGGTGACCTTGGTATTCTGCTGTGCATGGGAGATCCAGGGCCTATCCCTCACAGGGGGATTTGGGTGACTTAGCAGTTCTGGAATGCTCTAAAGGACTCATACCTGGACCCCAAACCTCAGAGAAGTTTGGGGCCTTCCCAGGCCTGAAGAAGGGGCTGCTCAGGCAGGTTCCTGGCCCTCGGACCCAGCAGGGAGGTTGTGTTTGTGGTTTTAGAGCACGCTTCTCTCTCTGTCCAGACAGCTACGTCTCCCACTTTCTGGGTCTGCTTCAGGGTGTTTAGAACTGGCAAAAAGGAGTATCTGTAGCTGAGAACTGGGACCCTCCTGGACTGGATGAAGGCTCTCATCCAGTGTGAAAGTTCGTGCATTCTGTTTGAGGGATCTTGTCCAGTGGGGAACCTCGTGCCCTCCAGTGGGTCAGCTGCTGTGTTTGCACAGCTGGGGGAGGAGTTCACTCAGCTTCCAAGGAGACTTTGGCCTGTAATCATCCTGCGCCCAGGGGGAGATAGCAGCCACGGGCACAGCAGTGAGGTGGAGCTCAGTCACTCCTCCCTCCCTCCTCCATTCCTGGCTCTCTACCAGAGAGGCTTGTGGGGAGTCTTGTGGGACAGTGACACCAAGTCTGGTCCAGGCCCCTAGACAAGGGCTCAGGGCAGAGAGAGATAGAGAATCTATGCTAAAACCAACCCTACCAAGTCAGCAGCGGCCAAAGGCTCTGTGGGTCGTGTATATACTTCACTCTTTCAGGCAGAGATTTGCAAGAGAGGGTGTGGCAAATGGCAAACAAAGGGCCTTCTCCTTGACACCTACAGTTTTCACTGCCAGAGTTACTTTATTCCCTTTTCTCTGCAAGCTTGCCATTTTCGTATCGTTTCAATTCTGCAAGATATAGGAGGCTAAGTCAGCATCCTTCCAGGAAGACCTTTCCTTCTGAATTTCGCAAAGCAAAACCGACGTTTGTAGTTATGAGTGCTCTTTTTTTAAAAAATTTATTTTATTTTTATTATTTGTTTGTGTGCTACCGTCAAATCAGATTTGACTGGTATAGGAAGAGATGGTTCCTCCTTCTCCAGCAAAGCATCTGGTGGATTTGAACCGCACACCTCTGGGATTGCAGTGCAGCTTCTTGCCACTAGGCCACCAGAGCTCGCCATGAGTATTCTTTAGTATCCACTCACTTGTGTAACTAGTTCTTCAGAGGCAGGAATGGTTTGCATTTGTTTGTCTTTTAACCAAACTGTTGGTGAGGCCAAGCTAGCGGCACTGTGTCAGCAAGGCCTGGCGGTCCTTCTCAGTAAAGATGACCATTTGACCCTGGCACGTATGAGGTCACCTTGAATCAGACGTGATTCAACAGTACCAGGCGTGTCTTTCCCCCCTTCAACCCTGCTTAAACCTCACACCACTGCCCTGAGAGAGGAGCCTTTGACTGCAGCTTCCTGTGGAAACTGAGGCTGAGAGTAGAGCCGTTTGCTTTGCTTGTTTTGTGGCCGTGGGACATTAGAGGAGCGAGAACTCCTCTGGTCTGGCTCAACTCAGGTGACCTTTTGTTTCCTTCTCCAGGACCACACCCTCAGCCAGCGTAGATATCAGGGGTGAGAAGAGCTTGTTGAGGCTGTAAAGTAGCTAGACTTAGAATCACATTGTGGTGGGGTAGGGTGAGGGGGCGTGATGTCAGGGCCAGCAGAATCCCTGGTTGAGGAAGCCTGTCAACGAAGGCTAACTTGCATCAACCCGGAGTTGAGATTCCAGCTTTGCCCCTACAGCCAGCTCCAGCAGTGCGGGGATGTGGCTTGTCCCCCAGAACCTCCCTCTGTGTGCGATTGTCAGCGTAAGGACAGCTGGAAGTAACAGATGAGGCTTCCAGCACCTGGTGATGCATGATTCAGGGACAGCAGCACTGGCCTGTCATCCCCAGCAGGGCTGCTTGCTGCTTGGTCTGGGAGTCCTCTGCCCAGGATGAAGAAGAAGGGACCCCACCCATACTGGGCTGGGCCTGGAGGAAATGGGGACAGCGCGGAGCCAAGGAGGCAGGTGTGGCCATGTAAGGGCCATTGGGATTGGCCTGGACTCAGCTTACCTAAGCACACTGCCTCTAGTTCCTGTTTGCCAGGGAGGAAGTCAGTGCTTTTCCTAGGGCCTGGAGGGGGAGGGGGCTGCAGGAACTGGCCTTTGAGGAAGTCGGCAGGCCTGTGCTGGGGTGTGGACCCTGATATCCCAGCCTGTGGGACAAACTTCCCCTGTGATCATCTGGGGTAGGTGTGGTGGGCCTTCCTTGAAGCTTAAGAAGTAGGGCAGGCAGCAGGAGAAAGGGAGGGCCTGGTGAGGACCTGGCTTTCCTTTTCCCTCCCTCAGGTGGACATCCAGGGGGAACAGAACTATAAGGAAATCTCAGGCCAGGGGCCCTCGGAGCCTGGCCCTGCCTCTCAGGAATTTAATGCCATTTAAATGTGGCATCATCTTGGGGTGTGATGACAGCTGTGGACTGGCTTTGGGGTGTGAAGCTTCTTGAGGATCCATCTAGTGGTCTAGTCACTCAGGATTATTTATCTGGGTGACCCTTCACTTTTTGAAGCTCGGTTCCTCCCCTTTTGAAAGGGGATGATGAGAATTCCCAATTCAGAGGTGTTGGGGTTCCCTGAGGTCACATGTGCCGAGGGCCAGCGCATAGTGTGGGTCATTAGAAAAGTGGGGTGAACTTGGCCTTTCCTTCTGTCAAAATGCTTGCCCCTGAGGGATGGAGTTCCCTGGTCCCAGCAGGTCTGGGGAGCAGCAAGTGAGCCAGGCTACAGGCATGCAGGAATGAGGTGTGGCCGCTGAGCTGTCTGGGCTCTGGGCCTTGAGGGTCCTGGAGGGGAGGGCGTGCAGTCCCGATCCTGCCCCTCTGCTGCACCCTTCTGGTCTAGATGTGGGGAGACATCCCCTCCATTGGGGTAATGGAAGCCTGCACTTGAGGGCTGGTTGGGCTCCCTTGCTGCCTTTAAAAGCCGGATCGTGGGGCTCTGGAGCCTCTGGCCGGGCGGTTTGCCAGGCTTCCGCAGAAACAGCCGACAGAGCAGTCCTGCCCACCCCCCCACCTGGCTTGCCTGAGGGGGTGGGGACCACTGCACCCGCCTCATTCCAGCCCCACCTCCCCACACACCTCACCCGCAGCTGGAGCCTCCAGAGGTGTTCAGAGGCAGCGGTTGGCTTCCACACGGTCAGAAGAGCAGGCAGGGCCCCAGGTAGCCCTGAAATCCGGTGCTGGGAGCTCCCGTGAGGGCCTGGCACTGCCCGGGTTCCTCCCTGTGACGTGGGCCCTCCGCCCCGTCTCCTCGCCGCCCTGCTGAATCCGAGTGCCCAGTTCCAGGCAGGCATTTCTGCCTCACAGTCAGCTGGCCACCTAGCTCCTTTGAGAGGGGACCCCAGCAGGGTGGCTGATTCCCCAAGGTAGGATGTCCCCAGGGGTAACTCAGCAGCTTGTGCCAGGCTGGGGTAGGAACTGGTTCTTACCAGGCTACCAAAACTCCTGTCTACCCGGCCTGAGGTGGGCCTTTTCCCCTGGGTGGGGCAGGTGCTCAGAAGACCCTTCCTGGGGTGCAGGCAGGGAAGGCATTGCTGTTGGCGAAGCCCCAAGGCCCCCGGTTCTTAGCCAGCCTTCTCCCTACAGACGCCCTGCTGGCAGACTTAGAGTCTACCACCTCTCACATCTCCAAGCGGCCGGTCTTCTTATCCGAAGAGACCCCCTACTCGTACCCAACTGGAAACCACACCTACCAGGAGATTGCCGTGCCGCCTCCAGTCCCCCCGCCCCCGTCCAGTGAGGCCCTCAATGGCACCATCCTTGACCCCTTAGACCAGTGGCAGCCCAGCGGCCCCCGATTCATCCACCAGCAGGTAAGAGGGGGACAGGGACCCCTAGAGGCTTTAGGAGCTTGGAGTTTAGGGAGCAACAGGAGGAGTGGAATTGGGGAACAAGGCAAGGAGGCCCCAGCATGTTCAGCCCCCACCAGACTGACCCACCCCTTACCACGTGAGTTGGGGGGAGGCAGTGAACTAAGTGTTAATCACCAGCTCCCAACCGGGACTTGGAAATTCCCTGGTGAGCCATCTGTGAGAAGGAGCCCTTCTTGAGGTGACTCGGGGTTGGGGTCAGGGGGGGTCTCAGCACTCTCTTTCCTGCAGCCTCCATCCCCGTCGCCCACGTCTGGCTCCAGTGCCCCTGTCCCCCAGGGGAGCAGCCTCAGTTCTCCGTGTTCCCGAGCAGGCGAGGAGGAGCACGTGTACAGGTACAGCCCAGTCCCCCCAGACACCTGTCCCCGCTGCCCTCCTGGGACCCCAATGATCTTGAGCAGAGTGGATGAGCAGGGAACAGGCAAGGCCGCTGCCACAGGGGTCCCAGGGAAGAGATTACCCACAGAAGGTCCTCGGAGGCCTATGATCCCCCAGTGGGCATGCTTGGCTGAAGCGACCAGGCTGGGCTGTGACAGCGCTGCCTGCGGTAAGGGGGCTGAGGCAAGACTTCCTTCCCATGCATCTCGGCACACCCCCACTCACTGCCCTTGCTCTCCTCCGCCTCGCTCTTCCGGGGTGCAGGATCCTCAGTTGCAGGCCTAAGGGGTGTCACTCAAGGTAGACTTTCTCTCTGGCTCTCAAAGCTTCCCCAATAAGCAGAAGTCGGCTGAGCCTTCACCCACCGTGATGAGCGCCTCGTTGGGCAGCAACCTTTCGGAACTCGACCGGCTGCTGCTGGAGCTGAACGCTGTGCAGCACAGCCCCTCCGGCTTCCCTGCAGGTGGGCCAGGCTTCTGGGACCCTCAGCCGCCCCTTGGGGCCCAGTAGGCTCCAGGGCTGAGCAGCTTTTCTTGCACCCTACCAGATGAGGCCAGCTCCAGTCCCCCGCTGCCCGAAGCCCTGAGCCCCCACTATGGCATCCCGGAGAACAACAGCCCCCTTGGGGGCAAAGCCGGGCCCCTGACAAAGGAGAAACCGAAGCGGAATGGGGGCCGGGGGCTGGAAGACGTGAGGCCCAGCGTGGAGAGCCTGTTGGATGAGCTGGAGAGCTCCGTACCCAGCCCCGTGTGAGTCTCTACCGTGGTCCCCAGGTCAGGAGAGGTCCTCTCCAGCCAATCCAGGCGCAGTGCCCACCTGCTTATGGCATTGGCACTTGGAGGGGGGATAGCAGTGGGTCACAGGGTACCATCCCTGCCTCCACAGAGCCGCCACAATCAGAAAAGATGACTGCAAAATGAGAGCTCTTCAGATAATAGTATTGGAACCACATCCTAGTTTTGGCTCTGCTTCTTACTAAGTGCTATCTTTTTAAGCCATAGTTTTCTCATCTGTATATTGGATATAAGAACTTGCTATGAGAATTCAACTAATAATACACCTAAACCTCTGGTTTGTTGGCCTTTGGTAGTGTAAAACAGAGTCCTCCCATCTGTGTTCAGTGTGTGGAGGAGACACTCAGGGTGCTTTGAGCTTGAGGGGTCTTCCTGGGAGGGGTGTCCAGAAGTGCTGCCCTGTCCAGGAGTCAGGTCACCTCTGAGCCCTGTCCCCTGAGAGATGATGTCTCTAGTGACAAATCTTTCTTGGGAGACAATGGAAACTGGTGGGGTTCCCTGAGGTTGGGGAGGATAGGATCGCAGTGTCTCTGGGGTCCCCCCTGACTGGCTGCTGTCCACAGCCCCGCGATCACTGTGAACCAGGGCGAGATGAGCAGCCCGCAGCGCGTCACCTCCAGCCAGCAGCAGACACGCATCTCGGCCTCCTCGGCTACCCGAGAGCTGGACGAGCTCATGGCTTCGCTGTCAGATTTTAAGGTGCCTGTGACCCCCTCTGTCCTCTGTCCTCTGTCCTCCAGCCTCCTCCCTTGCCTCGGTTTAGCTGAACTCTGCTCTCAGGGGCCCTGAGTTGGGCCGAGATACAGGGACGGAGCCAGGGTGCGTGGGCTCCATGCTGCCCAGCCATCCAGAGGGCAGTACAGCGGGCATTCCTGCCTCCCCAAGTGCTCCCAGACACCAGCGGGTCCAGACAAAGGGCCCTGTGTTGGGGCTGCTCTGGGTGGGGGAGGGTGTCCCTGCTGGGCCTTATGGGGCCTGGGATCCCGTGCCTGACAGGTCATGTGCCCAGAGCCCCGTCTCCCACGCTGACTGTCCTCAGCATGTCCTTTTTCTTTCTGCCTCCAGTCTCTTGTGTCCCTGGGCCTCCTCCACTTCATCCCATCTTCCTGGCAACCTCCGTGGCCTGAGTTCACACAGGCCTTGTCGCGGGGGGCTGGGGATCCCTGACCCAGTGTGAGCCATTCTGTCCCTCTGATCCTGGCCTCCCCAGTCCTGCCAGGCCACAATGTTTTATTTAGAGGCTGCAGCGTCAGCCGGCAGCACCTCCGTGGGGAATGGTATTGACAGTGCTCCGGCAGATGCTGACTCCAGCCTTCCACGGGGCCTGGCTTAGGGGAGATGAGACGGAAGCAGGCTGTCCGCGCGCCCTTCACCCTCATGGCGCCTCAGGCTTCCCTGCATCTGGGATTTTGTTACAAGGGTGGGCGTGTGGCCAGGGTTGTGCTGGACCTGAGCTAAGTGACCCTTCAGTGTTGTGGTCCCAGCACCCAGTCACAGGGGTTCCGAGCAGCCAGTTGGCCAGTTTAAGGGTGGACCTCATGGAGTCCTGCCCCGGTGCCTTTATTGCTGTGGTGGCCTGCTAGTCAACAATGTCCCTACTCCAAGTTGTCCCCAGGGCAGGGCTCATAAGAAGTTGGAATGCTGGGAGTATCTGCCAGGGACACATCTGGGACACCTGTCTCTCCTCAGCTTGTGCTCTGAGCTGGCTCCCTGGTCAGCCATTTCCCCAGCTTGTCCCCTTCCTGCTCTTCCTCGTACCTTACCTGACCAGTCAGGCCTGCCCCTTGGACATGCTATGGTGGCTGCTTCTGCCACCTCCCTTTGGTGGGGGCCAGGACTGCCATAACTGGGGTTTGAGTCTTCTTCAAGAGGCAGTCCCTTAAGGAAGCTCTGGTGGCCTAGGCAGGAAGCTGCGCTGCAATCCCAAAGGTTCACGGTTTGAATCCACCAGATGCTCCGCTGGAGAAGGAGGGACAATCTCCTCCTGTGTCAGTCGGATCCGACTCAATGGTACACAACAACAACAACAAAAAGAGGCAGTCCCAGTGTTTGCGCTTCACAGCCCCCTTGGCTAATGCAGATGTTGGTCCTCTGAGCTCCCTGTGCCCCCAGCCAGCATCCCTGCAGACAGCATCCCATCTCACTTCTCTCCTCCTCTCTCCCTCTCTCTCTCCTCTGCCTTTGTCTCTCCCTTCCAGACCATATCCTCAGCTGTGGCCCTGAGCTCCCCGGGGCCGCTGTCCTGCTCAATGCCACCCCCACAAAACACACTTCCTTCTCCTCCTCCTGAGCCCTCTGCCGTATCTTCCACCTCCAAACCCTCCCCTCAGGACCACACCTTGGAGGGAAGTGGGAACGGATGGGGCCTTCTGTCCCCTGTGTCCCTCATAGATCTTGGTGAGATGCTGGACACCCTCAGCTCAGGAGGTCCCCCTACAGAGGTTTCCCTGAGGCCCCTTGGTGCCGAGAGCCAGGCTCACGTTTCTAGAGAAGACTTTATTGGAGAGACACAGAACTCCAGCGGGGAGATCTCTACAGCCCCTCCCTCCCCCACTTCGCCCCAAGCTGGGTGCACAGGTCCTCAGGATCCGGGAGACCCCCAGGGGCTGCAGGCCCACCCTTTGGGCCCAGAGGAGGCTGTGGCATCATGGCCTCTGGAGGCACACGGGTCTGAGACCCCCAGCGGTGCCACACCCAACTTCCAAGAAGTACCAGAGCCCACTGTGGTGGCTGTGGACCGGCAGGCTGTCTTCCCCGACACGTGGAGCCTCACAGACGAGGACGCAAGGGCAGGCCTGCGCCTGGGCTGCACTGCCCTGGCCGAGAAGGAGCAGCTAGGTGGAGAGACCCGCAAGAGGGGCGACCTGATCAGGCCCAGCCAGGGACCTGGGGTCTCCAGGAGTCCCGAGGGTGTGGCTTCTGGGGCTGAGCCTCCACACGTCATGGCCACAGACACACCCAACGCCACGGAGAGGATTTCCACCTCCGGCCAGGCAGGCGCCAGGTTGCATGGCCGCTGTGCTTGGCTCTCGGCGAGCCTGCGTGTGGCCTGCTGCCCTTCTGACCCGCATGCTGCCTTCCCTCACGCATGTCCCCTGGGCACAGTGGCCTGTCGCCGCACCCCAGTTGCCAGGGCCTTGCACCCGATTCTGGACCCAGGATTTCGATTGGTGACAGCTCTGCTTCGGCTTGTTTGTGGCTTTTTTCTTCAGAAGAGCCACCTCTCACAACCCTAATGTGTGTGACGTGGTTGAAGCATGGGCTTTGAAATCAGAGATCTGGATGGATACAAACCATGCCTCCCCACGGCCTCAGTCTTCTCATCTTTAAAATGGGGTAATAATAGAACATTTCTCTACAAGATTGGAGGATGAAATGATACCATGCCTGGGAAGTGCTTAGAACATGGCTCTGACACTTCTGGAGTGACAGCTGACCTTGTTACAGGGCCACCCTTTGCTGCTCACTTGATTAAAATTTAGTCTGTTTCAGAAATTCAAAACAAAACACTATCAACCAGCAAGTGATAATATAAATTTGAAGCAAAAGCACTCACATATAAAAACAAACTGGATAAAAACTTTACTGGAAGGAAAAAACTGCAGTTTCTTTTGCAAATTACAAAAGGGAAAAAAGAAAAAGCATTCTCTTGTTAAGAGCTTCCACTTCCAAGGTCTCGGATCTGGTGGCCCCCACGTGGGAGGCCAAGAAGACAGTGTTGCTCCATTTTTCAGGACGGAGAGGCTGAGGCCCTCCAGGCCTGCACGCCTGCTCAGCTTGGCAGTCTTCTGGCATGAGTTCCCGGGCACCTGTGTGCACCCTGGGCCCAGAGTGGGGCTGTGACGCACCCCTCCCTACCCCTCAGATTCGCTCCGTGATCAGGAGGAGCCGGGAGACAGGCCACGCACACCCCATGTCCCGGGAGCCCTCCCCCCGCCGCCGGCTGGACCCTGCCACCCTGAGCCGGACCCCCTCCCAGGAGCAGCTCATCGCGGAGCTGCAGGGCCGCCTGGGCATCAGGCCAGAGGCCGAGGAAGCCGCAGCGGGGGCGGGGCTGGCGGCCGAGGACTGGCTGACGGAGGGCGTCGTCATCACCGTGCAGCCGCGCGGGAGACGGGCTGGGGGGCAGCTGGTGGAGAAGGTAGCAGGGAGCAGTGGCCATTCTTGGGGCCAGGAGCCTGGGGCCGCCACCACCTCTCTGGCCGCCCCTGAGTTGCGCCCTCTGCCTTCCTCACGCCTCTCGTCTCTTTCCAGGTTGTTTTCTCGCCTAGCTCTCCCAGCCCTCTGAGAAGGACCATCTCTGCCCCAGCCTCTCCTCCTCTTCCTTCTCCTGTCCCCCTGCTCCAGCATCGCAAAGACACCGTGGCCAGCTGCTCTCCTCCCTTGCTCGGCCTGCCTGTGCCCCCTCCACCTGGACCCTCTACTTGTACCTGGGGCTCATCCGGGGCCCAGAGCACAGGGAACAGTCCCCCCGTCGATGAGGCTACCCTTGGCACCCTGATGTCCCACACCGTGAGGCCCACTCTGACCTCTGTGGGCTGCCAAACCGACGAGGACCTGCTCTTCCCCCCGGTGCAGGCAGGCCCCAAGACCCTGGCCCCGGCACACCCCAACTGTCCCTGTGCTAATGTCTGAGCCTGCCTGGTCCCCTCTACCTGCCAACCTGAGCGCAGTGACCTCAGGCCTGAACTTCCCTCACCTGGCCTCCTCTCCCGCCTGCTGTCAGGGGCGGGCTGGCGCCCTCACCCTCTCCTGAGCCTTGAGCCCCTATCCCCAATCCCCTGTTGGCTATGCCTCTTCGTCCTCTCCATCTCAGCACTGCTTGCGGGCTAAATCTTCTTTTCTCATCCCACATTCCCTTTTGTGATACAATCCAGTGAGAAAACATCTTGTTCTTTCCTCTCTGATTTATAAAAATGTTTCATTCCCTTTCGCCTCGTTTAAGATCCAGACCCTGGAGCAGAGCGCAGACGGAGAGCTGTGCTGGGCGGCTAGCTGGGCTCCGGATGGCAGGCAGAGCGGTCAAGGGCGAGACGAGGGAGGGGTCAGTGCCAAGGCCAGGAGCCCTGCTTCCCGCTGGCCTCCTCCTCCCCCCAGCTTGTTCGTCCAACCTTATGCTTGGCACCAAGGGCCACAGAGCAAGTCCTTCTACCCATCTGTCTGCCTGGTGCCCCTCTGACCTGCCCCTTGGGCACCTGGAGAAAGTGGCCTTTTTTGCCTCTGGCATCTCACCTGCCCTAGAGGGAGAAAAGCCCCTACTGCCCCAGGACTCCCCAGCCCCGCAGTCCTGATCAGCCTCTTCCTGTCTCCACAGTTCATGGCCCAAGGGAAGGCCGGGAGCAGTTCCCCGCCTGGCGGGTCCCTGAAGCCAGGGAGCCAGCTCGACAGCATGTTGGGAAGCCTTCAGTCGGACCTCAACAAACTTGGGGTGGCCACAGTCGCCAAGGGTGTCTGTGGGGCCTGCAAGAAGCCCATTGCCGGGCAGGTAACCGGAGTGCAGGTGGCAGACTGGGGGTAGTGATAGGTGGCCTGAGGTCCTCTTGACCCGGAACCACATTCCCTCTCCCACCTGCCAGGTTGTGACCGCCATGGGCAAGACGTGGCACCCGGAGCACTTTGTCTGCACCCACTGCCAGGAGGAGATCGGCTCCCGGAACTTCTTTGAGCGGGATGGGCAGCCGTACTGTGAAAAGGACTATCACAACCTGTTCTCGCCACGCTGCTACTACTGCAACGGCCCGATCCTGGATGTGAGTCCCAGGGGTGCCTGGGAGGTTCCACGAGGCTGGGACCCACACCCGGTCCTCGCTGTCATCCATTCCGAGCCACCCTGCCCCTGGAAGGCAGAAGAGCACTAGAGCACCGGGTGGATTCAAATTTAGTCATTTCAAATCACTTAATCAATTCAGTCGCTTCATCACCGTAGTATGAGGGCTTGATACAACCAGCATGCTGGGAACCAGCCCAGGCCTGACCTGAGCCCAGAGCCTGTCTTCTCGTACATCTGGTAGTCCACCTTTCTGTCACCTCCCATCCTGGGTTTTCTGGGGCTAGGAGTCCAGGTGAACAGAGCTGAGTACTCACTCCTAACTCTCCGCTGTGTGACGTTAGGGAAGTGCCTGGCCTCTCTGGGCCTAGGCCTCATCCCTCGTTGGTGAGGATCAGAGGAGAAGCTGTGAGCCGCACTCCACGTGAGCTGCAAGGGGAGCACTCATCATCCCTCAGTGACTCTTACCTCTGGGTGGTAGTAACAACACAGGAGAGATGAGGTCTAGGCTGAGCTGTGTTCCCATGGCAGACTGAGGGGGGCCAGGATCCGTGGCCAGGGCTGGGGGTGGTCTTTCCTGAGTTTCCATCATGCGCTGTGGGGTGGGAGGCTGGCTTTGACCCCACACTCTTCCTTTCACAGAAAGTAGTGACGGCCCTTGACCGGACGTGGCACCCTGAACACTTCTTCTGTGCCCAGTGCGGGGCCTTCTTTGGTCCTGAAGGTGCTGACCTCTTCCCTCACCCATGACTTCCAGGAGGGGAGGGTGGGGGTAGGGATGTCCTGGAGATGGCTGTCGTGGTGTCACCACTCCTGGAGGCCCTGACCCCGCTCCCCACCCCTTCTCAGGCTTTCACGAGAAGGACGGCAAGGCCTACTGCAGGAAGGATTACTTTGACATGTTTGCGCCCAAGTGTGGCGGCTGTGCCCGGGCCATCCTGGAGAACTACATCTCGGCCCTCAACACCCTGTGGCACCCTGAGTGCTTCGTGTGCCGGGTAAGGAACCCCTAGGACATGGGCCTTGTGGTGGGCAGTAACGGGGTGAGCCAGCCAGGGATGAGGTCCTGGCCAGGGATTGCATGAGGCTGGGACACATCCCCCAGCACAGTCCCAGGAGGCTGCCTGGGCAGTGAAGGTGAGAATCAATATCACAGCCTCAGTGCAAGTGCACAGTGGTCTCCACACTGCATGCCCGGGGCAGCAGGGGCCACTAGCTGATACTTGGGATTGGGCAAAGTCCTTGGGCTCAAACGTGTTTGCAGCAGTACTTACCAGGGCCTTTGCACCCACTTGTGCACATGTATCTACAAAGCTAGGATGTGGGACACAGTTTGGCCACAGTACCAGGGTGTCGAACCCCTGCTTGACTCCAGGCTGGGTGACCCTGGACCAGTCACTTACCTCCGATGCCCCCTTGCCTCCTCTCCTGGTGGAATGAAGGGAACACTTAGCCCAGTTCATACAGACCGTCTGCCCTCGGGTTGATTCTGACTCAGAGCGACTCTGTAGACAAAAACTGCCCACAGGGTTTCTGAGGTGCTGGTCTAGTGGTTAGGAGCTGCGCTGCCAACCCAAAAGGCATGCAGTTCAAGTCCACCAGCTGCTCTGTGGGGAAAAAGATGGGCATTCTCCTCTCATGCAGTTTGCAGTCTCTGAAAGCCGCCGGCAGGGTGAGCCATGAGCTGGTTCCAACTCGATGGCACATAACAACAGCAATTGTGAGGGCAGACTGCTGTGTTCTCCCATGGAGCTGCTGGTGGATTCAAACCACTGACCTTTTTGGCTAGTGGCTGGATTTGCTTGGCACATCAGAAGCGCTTAGCTTGTTTGGGAGCTGCCCTAGCCACCCTGTCTCCCAGCTGAAGGCACAGCCGCCTGAACCGCCCCCTCCACCAACAGGAGTGCTTCACGCCCTTCGTCAACGGCAGCTTCTTCGAGCACGACGGGCAGCCGTACTGTGAGGTGCACTACCACGCGCGGCGCGGCTCGCTCTGCTCCGGCTGCCAGAAGCCCATCACGGGCCGCTGCATCACCGCCATGGCCAAGAAGTTCCACCCCGAGCACTTCGTCTGTGCCTTCTGCCTCAAGCAGCTCAACAAGGGCACCTTCAAGGAGCAGAACGACAAGCCTTACTGTCAGAACTGCTTCCTCAAGCTCTTCTGCTAGGCATCCCCCCACCCCCACCGACCCAGCACCCCAACTGCTACTGTGACCCAGAGACCTGGCCCAAGGGGTGAAGGGGCAAACCCACCTGAAACTGGAACCCGTGTCCTCAGCAGGCGCAGCAGGGGACGGGGGCCCCAGGGGGGCCCGCCTGCTTTCCTTCACCCTGGCCAGTACCTCTCTGGCCTCTTCCCTCGCCTGCTCTGCCCAAGCTGGTGTCGGCCCCCTGGCCATCCTCCCCACATCTTGTCCCCAAGACCTGGCCTGGCCAGCCAGCAGCCACACTGGAGCCATCTCTTACTCATTTTTCAGCAGTAGAGCTGGGGAAGGGCGGGCAGGGCCAGATGGGGTGTCTTTTTATCCTTATCACTGCCCCCACACCCCCAACCTAATTATCCTTAAAGTATTGGGGGGGCACCAGCTCTCTCCAGACAAAGCCAGCATAAATCCATCCGTCCTTGGGCGGAGCGGCCGACGGGCGCTGGGAGGCCGCTTGTCCTCCTCCCGCCCCCACCTCGTACCCCTTTTGTAACTCCTCTGGTTCTACTGAGCTAGGCCTCTCCAGCAATAATGTTTTCTAGTCCCTTCCCTCGACCCCGGGTTTGAGGGAGGTGGCAACATCACCCTGTGCCTGGCCACTGGACCGACACTGATTGGTTTCTATACTGAGGTTTGAATCCATAGCGTCCGGGTTCCTTTTACTTCTCTACACAAAATGATTTTGCAGAGATTTTTTAAGGCGTCCCCTTTTGTACTCTCCTCCTCGCCTGCCCCCTGTCCTGCAGGTGATGGCTTTATACTGAGCGCTTGGGGTGGGGAAGCAATTTGTATTTTATGTTTTTGGTTTTTGGTGTTTGGTTTTTTTTTTCCTTAGCACAAGCAGGTGAACCGGGAGCAGCTCCCAGACTCCCCTCCCTTCAATGTCACAGCTCACAGGACTGTTTTATAAACTGCTGTATCTTGAACTCCCTTCCTGCCGCTGGGCAGGCAAGCTCAGAGCTCAAACTGGCCTCAGGGCAGCTTCCCCTTGGGCCCTAGAATCAAGATTCCATCTACCTGGTGCACTTTAGGGTGCTGTTTCCAGCCCACGTAAGCCATCAGGAGCTTCTCTTCCCCTGAACTTCCTGACAACAGAGAAAGCAGACTGCTCTCACCCTCTGCACCACCACTCCTGGGGCTCATCTGCCTTCTCAGAAAGCAGGGTTTTAGCTTTGCCCTTACATGCCACTGGTTCTTGAATCTACTGGCAGATCACTTCCCCACACTCCCTGGGGCCCAGGTGGAGGGTCTTTCCTTTCTGCACCAGGAGGTTTGGAGAGAAGGGACCCTGGGGTTGGCAGTGGGGCAGCCAGGCCCAGGGACAGGGCAGATCTTGAGTTGATGGCACTCTGTCCCCAGGATGTAACGTAATAGGCCAGCTCTGAGGCCTCTGGTCAGCAGGAAGGACCCCAAGGGGTCTGAAGGGAAAACTCTCTACCCTGTTAGCCTCATGGCAGAGGCCCAGGGCCCTGGGGTCTCCAAAAGGGCCTCTCTGGACAGGGCTGGAAGCACCAGCCCCAGGAGTCCTGAGGTCTCTCCTCACCCATAGGCCTTACCGCTCTGTTTACAGTGCCAACCCCCAGCTCCCCCAGAGGGACAGCCTTCAGCCTTCTGAGGTCCACCCTCTGGGCCAGTGGTTATTCAATGATTTGATTCTTTTCCTTATAAACCTCTAACCTGGCTTTCCCTCATTTCAATTCCTGTGATTTCTGCCAATAAATTTTGCCATTATTTCCACCCGAGTTGGTGCTGCTACTTGGTGGTCTCAGATGAAAATCTCTGTCCTCACCGAGAGACCAAAACTCACCCCAGACCCTCATGTGGAACAAGAAGCCCAGGGGCTGGCTCTCCTGAGGCCTTGGTGTTTGACTCCCACTGCGTTTACCTCTTTCCTCTATTCTTGCTGGCCTGATGTTAAGGAGCTGCAATGCAAATCCGAAGGTACATGGTTCGAATTCCCTAGCTGCTCTGGGCAAGCAGGATGGGCAGTCCTCCCCTGTAGGATTTACTGCCTCTGAAAACCCACTGGAGGGTCAGCTGTTGGTCGGATCTGACTCCGTGGTCCACAACAACCACCATCACTCTTAGTGAGGGGCTGGGGAGCCGTGTTCGGAGGGTCCACGTGGGTCAGTGGTGTTATGCTTGTTCCCTGAGGCAGAAAGAGGTTCAGAGAGCACAATCTCCACACGCACAAGGCAGTCCCGTCTATGACCACGTTTCTTCTGGCTTCAGCCAGACACCATGTGTGTGACTTCCTGTCCTTCCAGCGAGTCAGATTTACACGGCCCACCAGGACTCTACTGCCGCCATGCGGTCGTAGACGCCTCTGCACGCTGCTGCTAGATTTTAGCCAGGAGCCAGAACTTGGGGCCCCTGGCGCTGCAGCCTCCCAGCTCAGCTTTATTCCACGTGAACTGTGGCTTCAGTTGCCCTGCTTGACATGGGTTCTGGCACGTTGAGGTCCCGTCTAAATCATGACCTTTCTACAGTCAGGAATTGAAACTTACCTTCAGACTCCCACCAAAAGATCCTTCCTTGCTTTATCCTCCCAGCCCGTTGGAGCCTTTTCTTTTCTAGAAATGGTAAGGCACACTCAACTGGGCATAGTTTTCCTTGTCAATAAATATAGATCCACATCGTTTCTTAATGGCTTCATGGTATTCCGTTATATCGATGGACTACTATTAGAGAAGATATTTATATCAGAGCGAGGGTGCCCTTGAGCGTGTACCCTGTGAGGGCTTTTATACTTGGAAAAGTGAGTTGAGCCTCAAGGTTGGAAAGGACAGTGTAGCACAGTGAGACTAATCAGCTTTGAACTTGCTCTTGGATTTTAACTCGGAAACCCTCAGTTACTGGCTGAAGGACTTGGGCCCATTGTTTAACATCTCTGAATTCTTCCATTTAAAAAAATGGGGATACTGAGGCCAGCTTTCAGGATTGTAGAGATTAGCAGAGGTTATGTGCAAAAAAAAAGAGTTTGCACAGCAGGGAGCAATGAACTGTCTTTAAAATAGGATCGTAACAGTAACCTGTCCCATTACTTCTCAAATTGGGTTGACATTAGGTAACTTCTAATTGCTGTTGAATCACAACAAAATGCTGCCCGGTTCTGCACTATCTTCATAACTGGTCAGATGTGGGACCACTGTGCTCCGCAGCGTTTTTTTTAATTGACATATTGCCAGGCCTTTCTTCCTCGTCTCTCTTAGTCTGGCAGCTCCCCTGAGACCTGATTCAGCACAGTAGCAACACGCAGGCCTCTGACAGATGGGTGGTGGCTGCGTATGAAGAACACCAGGTGGGGCTCAAGTGCACTGCTCTGAGCTGCCGTGGAGCTGAGTCGGTTCTGAATCCCAGCGTGAGGACCAGAACTGCTCCAGTGGGCTTTCAAGGCTGTGGGCAGTTCAGCAATAGGCCTTCTGTCTGAGATGCCTGGTAGAGGGAGCTTTGAGTGCTCATGGGACACTTCTGTAGATGCTGGTTGAATCCGCCCAGTATGATAAGGTCTGGGTATTTGACGTGGGTATTTGTGTTTTTACTACACTCCAAGGTTTATTTTGTTAAGTTAACCAGATTTGAGAACAGTTCCTCCTAATTGCTTAATGGATGGCTTTACAAGGCACTAAAAAAAAGATGTTCAACAGCAAAATAAGACACCGGTACTCAGTTATTGTCAAGTCAGTTTTGACTCATGGCAGACCCACGTGTGTCAGACTATAAATGTGCTCCGTAGAATTAAGTATCAGTTGTTGTTGTTGTTGTTAAGTGCCTTCGAGTCGAGTCATATAGCGACCCTATGAAGGAGAGTCCTCAACGCTTAGGTATCTTTCATCCTCTCTCCAGGTTCATAGGGTTTCCGGAGGCAAGCTTTTACGGAAGTGGATGCCACTCCTCCTTCCAAGCTTGTTTTAATCGGGGAGCTCCACCCCACTCTCAGTCTGCATTGGGTAACCAACCATTAACGCATTTGACACATCAGGGTCACGGTGTTCAGCCTCACAGCAACCACAAGTTACCGCTGTACGGCAACTTGTACACCAGGGCTATACGACCTAGAGGAATGTCTGAAAAAAAACAATGAAAGACAGGCCCGAGGGCCGCGGATTAAAAGTCCACCCCCCTTTGACTTGGTAGCATCGCTTTCTGTCCACTGGGCCAGCTGATCTCTCTCTTCATTAATTATCAGTAGTTGAGTTTTTTTTGGGAAGTACATCACCAGGCCTTACTTCTGAGGAGTGATTTGAATGCAGCCAAGCATGTCAACTATTTGCACCACCAAGTCAGACAAAGGACAAGAGTAATGGAGATCCAACTCTCAGTAAGCCTTGTAGTGGGGAGATTTAGACAAACAGAACTGGTAAGCACATACAAACATGTTATGTAGTTCACATTATTAGGTACAAATTAACTCATTAGAGATTTCTAATTCGACTCTGCGAAAAGAGTGAAGATGGTGGGGAACACTTCTTTGTCTTAAAAAAAGTAAACTCAGTCATTTAATTTTTTTTGGTTTGTTTGTTCATCTTTAACCTCTACTTCTGAGGCAGACCCACTCTCTTTGTCTGAGAGTGCTTCTCTGTCTTAATAACACAACAAAAAATTTACAGACCACAAGTGTTCAAGTAAGAATTGAGTATCTCATGACTGCTGAATTGGAACTGACTCACAGTTGATCCAGCAGGTTTCTGAGGCTGTAAATCGAATAAAAAGAGATCACCCATCTTTCTCAGGTGGATGGATTTAAACTGTCCTTTGAGTTTTCAGTGCCTCAGCGCGACTTCCCCCACTGGACTGCCACCATCAGAGCTTCCCCAGTGTCGAATAAGTGAGCAAATAATAAAAGAAGCTAACGTGTCTTGACTTCTGACTACATTTCTGAAACCATACTAAGTCTTGACATTAATTTTATCTTATTTGATAACATCTCTAGAATGAGTACTATTATTTCCCCCAGTTTTACA